GGAAAAACGCATGAATGACCTTCAAAGAGAACAACGCTTTTTAGTTGAGGAAATGCAGAGGTCGATTGACCATCGTGAGATAATTCGAACAAAAGGTCAGGCGATCCAAAATGCGACCAAGAAGAACGGGAGAGGGGCCACGAGACTAGATGTGGATAAGGAAAGTGCCAGGATGTTTAAGGAGCTCAATGAAAAAAGAGAAGAGGCGCAACTGAAGGAAAGACTTATTAGAGAAAGTCTTGTCGAAATTGAGAAAAAGAGTAAAGAAATTGAAACCATTCAGCGTGAAGTTGAAAACCTTGACGAGCAAGTAACAGAACTTCAAGCACAGTTGTTGTCAGCACAAAAAGAATGTGACCGACTGGAAGATGAGAAAAGGATAAAAAATACAACTCTTCAGCGTCTTCGTGACGCTGAAAACGGTGCTTACAATTTGGCAGTTAGTCCAGAGGAGCTCAATGAGGAAGTTACACACCTTGAAGAAAAGCGAAAAATGTTAGTTGAGATTATAGATGATTTAACAAATCGGTATCCTGAATTGGAGGAGGAATTGTCTGACATTCTTTCAGCACTTTAATTACAGTCTGTGATGAATAGGTCGTTTTAGTATATATGAGAAAAAATATGTATATATATATATAAGAAAGGCTATGTATGATACCTGAATCATATTATTTTATACTGCTTAAGATTTTGAATGCATATGTATAAAAATTTTGAGTATTATAACGAGGGTGGGTTTAAAGAGTAGCTCTTTAAAGCCGTTATACTTTGGATGAAAATGCATTGAGTTGCGTGAAATACGTTCCTTTATTATTATTATTCTCCTGCCTTTGTCTCCTCTATTTGAATATGAACGCATTGAAAGGAAGTTAGGCTTTGTTTGCATCTTAATGAACGCAGCGAATGCGCTAGCTCCTTGGTCTGTGCAGCAAATTTTTCCTTCTCTTGAGGTTAGCGTGAAATATCGTGCAGATTTGCTTGCCACAGCGAGTCGTCTACCGGATGTCGCTTCACGTACTTTGTTATGCCCTCTTTTTCATCACCGCTTGCTTCACCACTTTGCTCAGTCTTCTGTCTTTGGTGTACTTTCTTCAATGTGTAGTCATGCACTGACGCAGCAAAGACTCCATGAAGAGACTACTGGTAATGGCTTTAATGGGGCTAAAAACAACGGCTATGCTACCGAAGACGAAGTAAAGTTTGCTGCCACAATCACGAGCAGTTTATTGGAAGATTCAATGATAAATTTAGATGCTGCGTTGCTTCCAATCATTGGTAATTCACAAGGCCATTTACTGACTATTTTAAAAAAACGGCTGCGTGAAACGGAAGAAAGTTCTCTTGGTGTAAAATTTCATGAAAAATCCACACTATCCATGTCTACTCAAAGGAAAATAACTTTTGTACCTCGAAGAAAAACGATGGAAAAGGTTTTAGATCAGGCGAATTTACCTCGACGGCACATTTTTTCAAAAAAATTGGCTTCATTAACTAACGTGGCACAAAGTGCGGATGCTTGCGAACGTCGTGAATTGTTAGGAAATCTGGGAGATACTCCAGTTCCGTTTCAAGTGCGATCACGTGAGGAGGTGAGGCAACAATTAAGAGGACAAAAGGCTTTTGAGACAAGTATGACGGTAGTTCTTTCAGATCATGCAGTGCCGTTACCGCTTTGGAAGCGACGGCGGAATGAGGTAGAAGAAATCACCGAAAACGAAGGCTTTACTGCTCCACCAACAGCAGCTTCTTCCACAGCACTGAATTCCCCACAAGAGTCTTTTGTAAATGCAACATGGGTAAAGGAGGGTGAACTTTTGCTGGTCAATGGTTGCCTTATTCATCGTGATACAAAGAGAATAGTTGAACCCTCCGCCAAGAAGGAGAAAATTTGTGCTTTGGAGAGAGGAGAAATAGGCTCCATGGAAACCCCAGAAACGACAACATCCGTTAAAAAAAAGACAACCGCGGAGTCTGAGTGTAAAAAGAGGACAGCGAAAGTTGCGTGTGGTTCTTTTGCTTCTGGACGAATCGGTACTGTGAACACCCAAGGCGTGCCACTAATGTCCAGGGAGGAAATTTTGGCTTTGGTGAATTCTCTTCAAATCTCCGATGCTCTAAGGGGAGCCTTCTTGATTGGGTTAAATGGTGATGATAACTCGAAAATAAAAAAATGAATTGAGATGGTTGGTGCGGTGCGCGGTGATACTGTTACCTATTCCATGTTTCTTATGATAACGGGATTACAGCTTGCCATTTGGGATGATCCCTCTTTTTTTCACTTTCCCCAAAAGGGCCTTCCGTTCCTCTTCACTGTTCTTTTTTTTTTTCTTGTGTGTGTGTACCTACAACAACTCACGTGTGAGGAGGAACGGAGCAAAAAGAGGAAACGGCGTGAGAAGAAAATAAGATCAATAATAAAAATAATAGAAAGTATTTACAAAAAGGGTTTATGGCCACTGACGGTTTTTGGTTTCCCGCTTCTGAGCCGACGGGTGAGGAACTTGAAACAGCGATCTTCCTGACATTTCTTCAGAACATCTTTTCCACGCAAAATGTTCCAGCAAATCGAGAAGCAGCACAAATGGAGCGGAAGCGAAGTCGGTTGTTTCAGCCGAAACGGAAAAGAGATAGACATGAGGAGTCTGCAGAGTCAGATCAAAAGGAAAGGGGAGGGAATCTTTTTCACATCATTTCATGTATTGTCCACGCGGCGGGAATACCATACGAGCCACCTCTGGAGGAACAGGGCGTCGCTGCGTCAGGGTTTGTCTCAATGGCCGCAGAGACAACAACAATCACCAACACACCTCAGCCTGAAAAGGACGTATCATTTGAAGGGGATTATGCGGCGCCAAACAAACTTGTCCAGCAGCCCCGAAGTGCGCTTGCTTCTCTTGTTGAAATTGCCCGTCTAAAGGAGAGACTGCAAAAAACGGAAAATTCTGAAAGAAAAACCAGGGCTTTCATAGCAGTATCCGCAGATCCTTTAAGAAGTAACAACGAGGGCGCCAACATCATGTTGGAGCGTCATAAAAGCCCAACTGCATCCGAACAGAGTGGGGATGATTTTGGCGTAGCACTGCCTCTTGGTTCTTTTATTTCTGACGACACCAATGATCCGTCAAAGAAATTTGAAATACCCGTCGCGAAGCATCCCTCACAAATGTCTCAGGAAGAATTTTTGCGACAGTTCAAACGTGCTCCTCGTCGCGGCGAAATAGGATACGATGCGGAGAGCGTCGCTGCAGCGGAAGCCGTTGGATACGTCATGAGCGGTACCAGGAATAAGGAAAAGCAGCACTACGTAGACAATATTCAAAGAAAACTTCATGAAAAAGAAGCCCGAAAACTTAGATTGCAATTCCGAAAAGTTGAAGACGAACGAACAGACAATACAATGATCCAGGGAATCATTGCAATGGTGAATGAAAAAACTCCCCATGAAGGCCTCTAACTATGGAAAATCATAAAGCCCCTAATTTATTTATCCTTTTTTAGAAGCATGTGAAGGCAATGTGCGAACAGATGCAGCTCAGTGTATAATATTGCGTCCTGTTCACCTACTCTGCCTTTTTACCCATTAGTCGTTTTTTCTTTTCAACGATACCGCGTTGGAGGGCGGCGAGTGCGGTTCCTGTTTTCCTGTGATTCTACCTGCCCCCGCCTTCCTTCGCGTTGAGGAGAGTCCGGCGGCTGCGAGGCTCTTGAAGGACTGTCGCTTCGTCCGCTCACAACGAGCCCGGTTATGGTGGCGTATGCTCGTTGATTTCACTTGTTTTTGGGTAGTTAAGTGCTGGATGAGCCTCAACCGAATTTTGGGGATGTTGGGTGCATTGAGCCAAACTGCAATATCATTTTTTTTTTTATTTTACGCTTTTTCTTCTAGGAATATTGAACAAGGCCTCATTCGGGCGTATATTTGGCCGGATTTTGTGCTTTATTGGCACAAAAAAATCATTAATAAAAAATACATTTTTCTTGTTTTGTTTTGTGTGTGTTTGCGGCTGTTGCCAGAAGGAAATTTACAATGTGTTTGTTTGGCATTGTTGATGCGGTTGCAGACTTTTTTAAGAGTGTTGTGGCGTGTGCCTGCTGCCTCATCATCGGTGGCCCTGCGCTCATCATCGCGGGCAGCATGCTTCTCAATCAACAAGATCTTCGAAAAGCTTTCAGAGATGCCGTGAATGAATTTGACCCCACACCCATGAACGATTGGACTGGGACCATCAACAATGTGCCGATTACTGTGAGACGCGAGTCGCTAAACGTCCAGGGTGTGGACGGGGCCACTTCTGTCTTTGCGGAGGCTGTTGTTTCCGTTTCTCAGAGGTCTTCATCAAGGTTACAAGTTTCCGTGAATGTTAGAACCGTGACCCCTTTTATTCGCATGGCCCCCTTCCGCAGCATAGAAAAAACGTCATACACCTGTTCTTCACGTGACTGTAAAAGCAGATTGAATTGCCAGTGTAACGAATTGCTGAATTCTTTTATGAACCAGTGCGTCGCATCTGGTGGAAAATTTGTTCGC